TTTGTTAACTCTAAAATAGAGTGCGGTTGGGATGTTTTAAGCTTCGAATCCAAAATTTTGAAGTATAAATACAATAAAAACATGTTATCTAGGTGTATACTAAAATTAATTAAAGGAGAACTTAAATCTTGCCAAAAACCAAACGTTTTAATTACAAAGTAGGAGCGTTACACAACAAGAAACAATTGGTGAAGAACTGAAATTTATTAGACCTATCTTGTTTTTGGAACTTCAAATCTCTGGGACACCAAGTAGATCAAAGAAGACGAAAAATGATATTTGTATTCAATGTGCATTATCTTTGCTTTGCTGGCAAGTTTTGTGCTCAATGTGTAACTTTTATATGTGTTGTCTATAGCATTTTCAGCTTGCGACAACAGCGATTCCCAACTCTGCTCAGTATACACAGCATGACGGATGTTGATCCTTTGATTGACCAATTCAAGCCTTCCCATAAGAGCAACGGGTCAGTGGCTCACGTTTTCCAACCGTTTTAAGCAGAGTTGAGAAGAGAAATTTGTTGTCGACATCACGTATTTATGTGGTATCAGCAATTGATCAACTGCTTCCTTAAAGATGGGTCCTCCTGTCTACTCTGTAGCGGCCTCTTTAGCTTGTATTTGCAAATTTCATGACGTTGAGGAACGTGTAACAAAACAAAAAAAAGTTCCAACTAAAGAATGTATTGTTACTGATCCAACAGATATTTTATCATCAATTGATCAACTGCTTCCTCGTGTCTACTCTAAAGTGGTTTCTTTAGCTTGGATTTGCATGTTTCATGCCTTCTTGGAATAGAGGAAAGACATTGTGAGGGAACATTCTTGGTCCAGATGTTGGGTTCTTGGTTCTTGAAGCTCTTTAACATGTGTGTTATTTGGTTAGAATCAGGCGGGATTTGGGCAATTCAAGATGGCTTTTTGAAGACATGATTTCTCGTGGATTGTGTCAAAGCTCCAAAAGTAGTTCTCACTTAAATCCGTTAAAGAGGCAGACAACAGTCATCGTCAACCTCCAAACCATTAAGGTGATTATAATAATCCCTTCAAAAAGTGCTTTAAGTTTTCACATATTGTATAATAATAATGCAATTCGAAACTAGATTGCATTTTCTTTATAGAATATTTACCATGGTGGTCGGTAAGTATTGGGGACTGGTCAAATGAGCTGTGTAGACAAGAAGTAGTAAATTACTCGTTCTTCACCGAGGTTTGTGTGTCTTTTTCTTTTTGGTTGTTTTTTTCACTCTTTTTGACTCATCTTTGGCTTCTCCAAACCATTCTGTG